GGGGGGGGGGGGGGGGGGGGGGGTGGGTGGGTGGGGGAGAGCAAAGGTTAACCTGTTTTGTTGATCCTGGCGATAGTGGCCATAAACTGCTTGTATTTGGACCGATTCCTTGTATAATGTAAAAGTGTTTGGAGGGCTTTTCACCCTCATGTGTGCTGACCTGTCATCTCGATGTTTGGGGTGAAAGTCTGTGAGTTTTCTTCGTGCTGCAAGTGCGATCTAGTGTTAATATCAGTTGGGTTCCTTGCAATCACATCTACAAGTGGATCAAAAATTGCATACGCTTGCAACGAGACTCCACTCAACTCACACCCCCCCTTTACTCACTCCACAAGAATGCATCATCACACAAAGCAATGAAGTGAGAAGAGCAAGATTCACATGATGACGGCACGCTTGGAAATTTGTTTGCAAACTCGAACTTATGTACAACAGGTCCCTTCACATTCAGCGGCCATGGCCACTGGCTTCATCAATCAAGACTCTCTCTCTCTCTCTCTCGGTGTCTGTCTTCTGTTTGTCTGTCTGTCTGTCTGTCTGTCTGTGTGTCTGTCTGCCTCTCTCTCTCTCTCTCTCTCTCTCTCTCTCTCTCTCTCTCTCTCTCTCTCTCCGTCGGTCCCTGACCGTGGCCATGGCCAGTCAATATGATTCGGATTGCTGTGGGACTTTCCTGGGGTTGAGCTCTACCGACAGGGGGTTTACATGAGCTCCCTTCCTAACTACGGACCCTACAGGCTTCTACAGACTTCTATTCCCCCCTTGTCTGCTGGTTTCTACAGGACCTACACGAGAGTACCTACTGGAAACTTCGAATAAAACCTATGCACAGGGGCAAGAATGCAAATCAGTACCGGAACCAGGCGCTTAGACTCGTGAATCCTTCCATATGAAGATCGACAGGTCCGAGTACAGGGGGAAGAATGGGATAGTACCGGGAGCAAGCGCTGAGATGCGTGAATGCTTTCATACAAAGAGATCCCCTCAGATAAGTACGATATCAGCACTTCACTATCTACCACCCACAGGCAGCACTGCAAGAGTGAGGAATCGACTGAGCAGAGTGGGCATGTCCACACGAGCCTAAGATTCATTTCAGAGTTGAATTGATCGTCTCCATTATGCCACTACAAAAGACATGAGAAGAATGCTGACAAATTGTGTTTACTGCTGCCTGAAGAGGAGGAAAAAGAGTGGCATCAATCAACGTAAAGTTCGTAAACAGCTTGACACAGCGATCGTGTAATGCAGAACAGGCAAGAAGTACAACGAGATGATGCATAACAATCACAAATCACATAGAAGCCAAACAGGAAATTATTGCAGTATTATGCTCAGTGAAACTTACCCTCTCGAGGATTCACAACATAGCAGTTTTTGGCGCGAGTTATTTCCTTCATCTGCTGAAGCTCTGACTTAACCTGCCTTGTGAGCGTTAGCCCCAGGAGCAGACAGATTGGAAAGAGTGCAAAGCCTTCAGGAACGGCATCAAACATCCCACACAGGTAAGCAATATGTACAATACAATTTCACTACGATTAATGTGGTTATTCGTAAGACAGGACAACCCATTGGCTGCACCAATCTTCCTATTCGCCATGGAGGCATTGCAGCCTTCCTGAGAAGGGACCCATCCATAGAGAGACTCGTGAACATCAAGGGCGAAAAAGGCCAACCCATGCATATCCCTACCACCCTGCTATTTGCGGACGACCTCACAGTCCTCATCAGGGCATCAAATTCATCATTTCAAGCATTGACAAGAGCAATGTAAGCCTTCCAATTGGCCTCTGAAACTGTGTTCATCCCTGGGCAGCCCGGCTGGGGGAAGGTCGCCCGAGTACCCTCCAGGCGGCCCGGACCAGGCAGGTCCCAGACGATCCCGGCGCATAATATTTTTAAAAAATAGAAGAAAAAAAAGTTACGATCCTGGCCAATTTCGAAGTACACAATCATCAGAAAGTACAATGCCGTCCAATTGCAAAAAGAAATGAATGAATTTGAGAGGAGAGAGAGAAAGACGAAGAAGGAGAAGAAGAAAGAAAGAAGAAGAAGAAGAAGAAGAAGAAGAAGAAGAAGAAGAAGAAGAAGAAAGAAAGAAGAAGCCCAATGACAATGCTCTTCTTCTTCACCAACCACTCTCCTCCTCCTTATCTCCTCCCCTCTTATTCAAACAAGAAATAACAATAATAATGTTGAATGGCTGAACCAGAATCAATGTCTGAATCCCTCTTCTACTGCAGGCACAACATGAGGTCCATCATAGCCATGGCCACCCTTCCTCTTCCTCTTCATGTAGGTCGAGGCTATGGAGGAGTACTGAGGGCTCTACCCTCATGCCCAAAGGACAACCCAAAGCAGCTATGTCGCTGCCCTCCTGTCCCAAGGTCAACACAAGGCAGCTATGCTGCTGCCCATTCAGCCGCCATGCCTGACTCTGTCCCGAGCTTCCTTGATGCGGCACTACCCCAACTAGGGGCTTCCAAATGCAGCGCCTAACAACGTGATGAAGATGGTGTCCACCATAGCCAGGTAGGTATCTCGCCACTCTCCTCCTTGGTCCTCTTCTCCCTCCTTCTCCTACCGGTAGAGCTCCACCATAGCCAAGGTGGAAGCTTCCGGCCTTCTTCCTCCCAGCAGCGTTGTAGTAGCCAGCGCTCCAGCAGTGTGTCGCCAAACTTGCACACTGAAGAATGAGGCTGGGCTCTTCGCTCAGCCTCCAGATATAGAGGCCTACTTGCCTCCTGGGTGGTGACTTCCAGGCCGCTCGGCCTCCCAAGCAACGGGTACCTCCTCCCTTTCGGAGGGAAACATCATCGCAGACTCTGATATTGCCCGTACAGGCCCTAGACTCAGACAATGTTGTCTTCTTCTGCTTGGCCTGGAGTACCCGGCACATCTACTTCTACTGGGTGCGGTACCGGCCTACCTGCTACTTTGAGTGTTTTTCCGCTGCTCCAAGTGCCGAGGGCCTCTGGCTCCGCCACTTGAGTGTTTTCCCTGCTACAACCCTTAATGTCACGGCCACAGGTAAGTACCTGCCCTACGGGCCTCCCAAACAAGCAAGTACCCTTGCGGGTCACACACACTCATGCCGACAAGCACTCAGACAGGCACGCAGGTCAACAAGCACACACACACACAGGCTTAGAAAACTCAGCAGAATGCGGGAATCTCAGCAAGGCATCCATTCCATCGGTAAAACTCAGAAATCAGCAGTGTTCTCAGTCTGTGTTATGGCGGGTCATTATACTCCCCCCCCTCAAGAGCCAGGTCCCTTCGAGCGAGTAACTCACTTAGAGTCCCTACATAACGCATAATAAGCGTGAATGGCAGAGAGAGATCGGGTATGTTCCGTAGGAGTGAGTGTACCAGTGAACTTAGTTTGTTGTTCGGAGACGATCGGTTGTTCATATACGTTGACGATTCGCGGGGCACTCTGAAGCAAGTCTTTCTTAGCAATCCAGTAAAAAAAAAATTAATGGGTGATATAGAAAATGGACTTTGTGTTGTCTGTTTTTCCCTTTTCCACTGTGCTCGACACTTCTATCAATCTCGTGACCATCATTGATTGCACGAGGAATCATCGATTCTCGATATGGAATATTTTCAGGTGGTACATACGGAAACAACTTCGACGCTTGAAAGGCTGGGTACGTGCGCAGATGAGTAGGCACATCGATCGTGTAAGAAGGACCGGATGAATCCTCCCCTACCCGGTTCAGTTGAAACGGTTTTCACCTTTTAGCAGTAGCGGATGCAGTACCCAGGGTTCGATCCCTAGACCTCACCCTACCCATGTACAGTATCTGTGTAGACCCCG